ATTTTTATAAAAATCATATATTTTGCAATTGTACTGACACTACTGACTAGGGATGCGCGATACCGATACGATATTCAATATATCAATATCGTTGTTCAACATATCTGTTAATTTATATCGATATCAGGTGTTGCGATACGATATCGATACAATATTTTGTTTCGATATCTGAAATATCGGAAAATTTTCTCCACGTTCCCTAAGGTTCTGAACTGAAAATAAAATTGAGTACATATTTGGAAAATGTGTTCGTTCTCGCAAAACAGCTTTTGGCATAGTAACCATGAAGAACAAAAATTCATAAAAACATCAAAATTGCTTAAATCAGTTTGCAATTCTCAATAAATAAATGCTCGTAAATTTAATCCTTTAAGAAAATCGACAAAGGATACATACTTCTTGCATAAAAATAATATTAGCTAACCAAGACAAACCATAGCTGCTGTATGGCATTTTGGGCTTTAGCAGATTCAGTTGATCATGAAATTTTGTATACCGAACAAAAACTTAAAAATTCTGTTTTTTGAGGTCATTGAGGTTTGTACTTCACATTTAGAAATACATATGTACGTATGAAAAGGTGTGTCTCTTTGAGATTACTCGACATGCTTTTGAGGAGGGGTAAATCGAAGTTGCAGAACTCTGGTTATTATTTTTCAAACTTATTTGAGGCATTCACAACGGTGTCGTAAGTGTAGTATTTTTGTATGTCGTAAAGTTTAATAGCCTTAATAAATGTTTAGAGAACTTCGTAATCATAATCGAATGCTTACTCCATTTTGTTTATAATACTTATTATTTATATGGTAAGTTTGCTTAATGAAACACTTAACACATTTTAAATGCCAACTGTGAGTTTTTTTCTAATCATCTAATTGAATTATGCAAAGAATGGTGCACATTTTATTACACCATGAATGCAAAGTAAATTTTAAGTGTAGAAACGCCAAGGAGACATGACTACTCAAAACGGGCGTTTTCAGATTTAAATAAGGAAAACATTGAGTACTGCTTGCAGCTCTCGATCGCAAAGGCGTCCAACATCAATCGAAAACAGTGCCAGTAAAGGCGTAGATACTACATTTTTAAATGTTTTTTAGCTTGATTTTTTTCTAACTTGCGTTGCCTTGACTGCAGAAACTCACGACGCACTTCACTGGACCTCACTTTAAGTATGCAATTCAATTTGTTAAGAATATGTTCGGCGGTATGTGTATCAGCTTCGAAGTCGTAATGTTTAAATCGCATATGAGAATAATGATGACTTGTGGTGCTACCAGCACTGCCGGAACTAGATGAAAAGAGCCCGAAGGGTGAATGAACGTGCAAGTAATGACCGGGGCTAGTAGGGGAATGTGGCGCTACCGCACCACCGGTAACTTCGCTTTCAGAAGTATGAGCCGCAGTTTTCATATCTGCAGAAGTTTTGCTACTATTAGCAGAAGATGATGAGGATGATGACTTAAGCCAAATGCGGATAGTGGCTTTCAAATGACGTCGTTCGACTATTTCACAGGATGCAATGACATCAATGGGATAGGTCACCGACTTTTGCTTAGTCCAAAATTTTGCATTCTTATGTTGATCAATTTCGATGCGCTCTCCAGAAATTCCAAGTGTTACCTCCGTTTTAAAAAAAGGTTTGTCGATTATATTTAGACGATATGTGCGGTACATAGGTGCTTCCAACATATCATTGTGGCTCATCATACGCTCTTCATAATCATCATTGTTGCTCACAGTAATATAATTTGTATCATCTTCTTCACCATCTCCCACGCCATTAAGTGTGATTCCTTGAAGCGATTGTACGGCAGCGGCTGCCAGTCTTGCTTTATCTTCTTCAGAAGTCATTGATTTAGTTGCCATATTATTAGAGTATTCAATGCGAGTTACTTGAGCCAATGGTCGTCGCTCGGCCAATGTAAGATGCGAAAATCCAAACTTCGAGCAAGGTTCTCTATTATCAAGTGGAGGGAAGTCCTCCATGTCATCGTTATCTTCCGTAATGTACAGAGCATAATGTCGTATTGATTTTAAAGGGATATCAGGGTATTGTATTGTTGCTTTATAACAGACAAGACCAATTACCTAAATAATATACAATTTATTAATATATTCATGTATTAAGCTTATAGTTCTGTATCTAATATTACCTCAATTATTTTGGCACTTGCCAGGACACATATTTTGATAGGATAATTGCGCTCCCGTTCCGGCAACATGCTTAAGAAAACATGGATACGTTTTGTTTGAATACCCGTCTGGGAAGTGCCATCGAAGCACGCATATTCCATAAATTTGTTTTGAGCTTGTTTGGGACTATTTGCCAACTGCTGGGCTAACTTGCTTTTAATTTTTGGTTCACACTTCTCACCACCTCGAGCGTCATCAGTTACATCGGTGCCTTTGCCAATATTTTCCTTGGTTGCATTCTGAATGGTAGCTTGAGACACAGACTTTTTAACGAAAAAATCAATACGCTCTGGGGGAACAATTTCGTCATCGTAGTTTACAGATTTAGTTTTGGCCGCTTTTCGACGAGCTATGTCCATTTTTTCTAACTTTTGAGCAGTATTTGAACGAAACCGATGCGCACCGATTTCTGGGTACATTTTAATTTCGTACGACTGTGTGGTTAAATTCATATCTTCGTCATCACTTTGGTCTAATCCCGGATAGCAAACAAAATCTACTTCTTGTAGAGCTGGATCTAGCATGCGTTGGAACTGTTGTTTATTTCCAATAGATTTCCTATTCTGCTGCCTATTTTGATTGGAGATATTATTTTCAACAGCAGTTGTGTGGTATTTTTGCAAAAAGTGTTTGGGCATATCATCGCTTAACATGACAGTCTCACACATTCCAGTATCGTCTGTTGAAATAAAGGAATTGCGTATGTGTGAAAGCAGCCAATGTTGGTTACAATATGTCGCCATTTTTGCAGATATTATTGAAAGACTTTTCACAAAAGTTACAAAAATTTAAAAACGTTAATTTTTATAAAAATCATATATTTTGCAATTGTACTGACACTACTGACTAGGGATGCGCGATACCGATACGATATTCAATATATCAATATCGTTGTTCAACATATCTGTTAATTTATATCGATATCAGGTGTTGCGATACGATATCGATACAATATTTTGTTTCGATATCTGAAATATCGGAAAATTTTCTCCACGTTCCCTAAGGTTCTGAACTGAAAATAAAATTGAGTACATAGTTGGAAAATGTGTTCGTTCTCGCAAAACAGCTTTTGGCATAGTAACCATGAAGAACAAAAATTCATAAAAACATCAAAATTGCTTAAATCAGTTTGCAATTCTCAATAAATAAATGCTCGTAAATTTAATCCTTCAAGAAAATCGACAAAGGATACATACTTCTTGCATAAAAATAATATTAGCTAACCAAGACAAACCATAGCTGCTGTATGGCATTTTGGGCTTTAGCAGATTCAGTTGATCATGAAATTTTGTATACCGAACAAAAACTTAAAAATTCTGTTTTTTGAGGTCATTGAGGTTTGTACTTCACATTTAGAAATACATATGTACGTATGAAAAGGTGTGTCTCTTTGAGATTACTCGACATGCTTTTGGGGAGGGGTAAATCGAAGTTGNATTGTACTGACACTACTGACTAGGGATGCGCGATACCGATACGATATTCAATATATCAATATCGTTGTTCAACATATCTGTTAATTTATATCGATATCAGGTGTTGCGATACGATATCGATACAATATTTTGTTTCGATATCTGAAATATCGGAAAATTTTCTCCACGTTCCCTAAGGTTCTGAACTGAAAATAAAATTGAGTACATATNATCGATACAATATTTTGTTTCGATATCTGAAATATCGGAAAATTTTCTCCTCGTTCCCTAAGGTTCTGAACTGAAAATAAAATTGAGTACATAGTTGGAAAATGTGTTCGTTCTCGCAAAACAGCTTTTGGCATAGTAACCATGAAGAACAAAAATTCATAAAAACATCAAAATTGCTTAAATCAGTTTGCAATTCTCAATAAATAAATGCTCGTAAATTTAATCCTTTNCGATACGATATCGATACAATATTTTGTTTCGATATCTGAAATATCGGAAAATTTTCTCCACGTTCCCTAAGGTTCTGAACTGAAAATAAAATTGAGTACATAGTTGGAAAATGTGTTCGTTCTCGCAAAACAGCTTTTGGCATAGTAACCATGAAGAACAAAAATTCATAAAAACATCAAAATTGCTTAAATCAGTTTGCAATTCTCAATAAATAAATACTCGTAAATTTAATCCTTCAAGAAAATCGACAAAGGATACATACTTCTTGCATAAAAATAATATTAGCTAACCAAGACAAACCATAGCTGCTGTATGGCATTTTGGGCTTTAGCAGATTCAGTTGATCATGAAATTTTGTATACCGAACAAAAACTTAAAAATTCTGTTTTTTGAGGTCATTGAGGTTTGTACTTCACATTTAGAAATACATATGTACGTATGAAAAGGTGTGTCTCTTTGAGATTACTCGACATGCTTTTGAGGAGGGGTAAATCGAAGTTGCAGAACTCTGGTTATTATTTTTCAAACTTATTTGAGGCATTCACAACGGTGTCGTAAGTGTAGTATTTTTGTATGTCGTAAAGTTTAATAGCCTTAATAAATGTTTAGAGAACTGTCACGTACACCTGTGTTTTTGGCTCCTCAGGGTTTCCCTGGCTAGCTCAGTTTAAGATGGGCAGTGGTCCTCAACCCTACCACCAAGGAGCCAGACGGACACACATTTATTCCTCCTCTTCATCCACCTTTTTTTTTCCACACACTCTTCAACCGCAGGAAGCCCGCCCTACCAAGGACCGCTCGCTTCATTATAGCCTACCCTAACGGTCCCCCTCTTGCCATGCACCACACCCCTCACTTACCTCTTCGTCATACCACCTTCACTTCCCGCCAACTAAGCAAATTATCTCATCATTTTTTTTTTTTTTTAACATTAACATCAAAATATATTCAAATAATAATAATTTTTATAATAAAACATGCTTATACTGAACGCTTAATATACACAAATCTTATTCTTCGTATACTCCTTAGTTGGACCTAAACAGCCTACCGAGTAGAAATTTGNCGTATACTCCTTAGTTGGACCTAAACAGCCTACCGAGTAGAATTTTATATCACACAAAAAGACTGTGTATTCGAATTCAAAAAAAAAAGGTTAGGGGGAAGAATCCTACCTAATAGAGCTCTGTTAGTTGGTTTTACCCCTACCTATGTATTCACATATATAAGTATGCAAATCGCAGTATAATTTTAAATCGCTACTTTAAACCTTCCCAATCGGTAGATCTGCTTTACACATTCAAGGAAAAATTACATAAACGCTAATGATACAAACAAAATCATCCATATATGACAGTCTTCTTTTATTGGTTTTGGCCAGAAAAATAATTCCAAAACTGAACCACCCTAATGGCGTTTAACTAGCAACAATGCCCACACGCACGAACTATAAAATTAGCCGTCCCAAAACCCGGGCGCTACAAACATAAAGCTTTGTCACAAAAGCTTTCGCTTATTCTTAATAGAGTACAGTAGGGGGGTGAAAAAAAACTCCCTTATCCAAAAAATTCTCACATATTTAAAATTTAAAAATTTACCCCTTTTTTTTTTTTGCGTGTGTGCATGTACGTGCGTGTATAAAAATTTCAACGTAATGCTTTAGAACAAAATAAAATGCTTAACACAAAAAAACGCTTATTATATAAAAAAAAACGTGTAACACTTAAATAGACATATATATATATAAAATCTTGAATCCAATTGTTTCACGCCCCTCGCCTTAATAAAAATGCATATGTGGGGAACTTGAAAAGGTATCACGGTTCCTGGATAAAAATAGCGTATGCTCGCACTTACGGTACCGCCAAAAAAAGGACGGGGTTGTTTGGGCCACCGGCCGACTGGGTGTAATAGAAGTTCCGCAATTTTTCCTTAGGTTGTATACTAAAACTGGCAGGTGTACATTTGCATCGTGAAGTTGAACTTCTGCCAAATCCGGCACCGCGTGTCTCCGCTACCTTCCTTTCCAGCCTTCCGTCACAATTATCCTGCCTTTCTGCTGCAATTTGGGTCCTTTGCCCATATAAACTTAAAGAGTCTCGGATTTTTTCCTCAAGACTTCGCCACTACCTTATAACATTCAAACTGTATAATAAAACTACAGCACGCGCGGAGGCAGTTGTTTGCCGTGACGATACGTTTTGGTAATCCTCCTGCGCTATCTACGGCCAGGCCCTTTTATGCCTTTTTCTCCTAACGTTATCGTCTACTCTCTATTTCCGCTAATCGTTAACGAATAGTGCCAGGCAACTTTTTGTTGCTATAGTCCCCATTTTCCAGTATAAATGTAGTAAAAAGATTTCGTCCGGCAACCCTGCAAAAGCTCTTTTTTCGTCGAGTTTTACTCGTCGTTGTGTGGGATATTGTTTTTGACATTTGCAACAGGTAAACATGAGCCAAAAATCAAAACAAAATAGTAAACCGAAATGGTTTGTGCAATTATTTTATTTAATAAAGAAAACATAACATTTCGACCGATATCTTCTAGAGTGAGTGGACGTGTTTTGCGCATTATCCTGCCCTTTGGTTTTTACATTTTGGCGCCAGCACATACAAGTGCTTCTAACTGTTTGAAAACATTTTCTTAGTCTTTTTGCCTAATTTATTAAACAGTGTGCTCACA